GCCCAGTGGGCAGACGTAATTAACGCTAAAGAACGATAGGGAGCTTACGGGAAAGAACGAGTTATTATCAATACGAATTTTCGTAAAAATTACAGAAAAGCTCAAACGAAATCGAAAATGAAATTGATTTCATCTTCAGTAACATGAAGAACCCAGTGCAGGACGCACTGGTGATGAACAGGTCAGTGAGTGACTATATGCTCGCCAGATGCCACATCAAAGTACGCCTGGACTTAGCTTTACATGGAAGAAAATTGATGAGGACGAAACGCAAGTTACTTGACGTAGAAGCACTGAAGCAAACCCTTCAACTATTCCAACTTAAATTAAAATCTTTTTCAATAACACAGTGGTTATCAGTGTTATATATCAGAATAAAAAGAAATTATGAAAAATATCACCACAAAACATCATATGAAACATCATGAAAGTCTATTAAAAGATCACTAACAAATGAAAGAATTGATGAATAAACAACGAGAAATAAAAACAACAGATTAGAAATCATATATCGAATACGTGGAGATAGCAAAACTTTAAGGATGTGAACAGAAGATGTCGTCGGAGTATTCAACTGCAGATCGCTGAAAAAGCTATTGCAAGCAACCAAAGCATGAAGGAATTAAATTAAAGAATGACAACTGGGAAAAGACAAATTAAAACTCTCAAAACAGAAAAAGGAACTGCCATCACCGACCGAAAGAAATTCTAACAGTGAAATATTTCAATAAAAAACAGATGAAAACAACAGATGCTAAGATAACGATAAGGAAATTGATGATACAGACGGACCTGATGAGATTCCGGATATCTTGCCAGAAGCAGCGCGAGACGCAACGAAACAGGCGAAGATGACATTACAGTAGAACTCATGGAATCTGGCGATGAAGCACTGACCAACATAGCGTGATTGTTTTCACGCTGTCTGAAGGAGCTAGAAATTCCAGTGTTAGACTACTGCACCCACGATTCAATTCTAGAAAATGGAAGAAAGAATCTAAAGAACTACATACCATCGGTTGGTAACGAGTCACCTACAAGATTTTCAAGAAGGTACTGGTAAGAGTACTCGTCATCTTTTTAATGGAAGGAAACCGGAACGGTGAAAAATATTTTCATTTTTCTTTCGCAATGAGAATGGGGGATTCATATGACTCTGTCAGAAAATCTCCATATATAAAATATAAAAGCTGTGGAAAGAAAGGCTCTTAATACAATATTTTCTTTATATTTACATTTTTCAACGTGACCATTTTCTTGGTATATGGTTGGGAAACCCAAATGTAAAACAGATGCAGCAAAAGAAC